CCCCAAGGTAAGTAGTAAGCCCATTATAATTGGAGAAATACCACTCTCTACCACCCTACTATAAATATATCAGATCTCACCGATAATAAAACCCCAAATTTAGTCTTAGGGACTAAGTTGCAGTGTGAGTTTCTATAGTAACACTAATTCCTCATATGTCATTAGCAAATAGGGGAATGATTTCCAAGCAGTATGGAAGTCACCTTGACTCAGCTGTGACTTTTTTTCCCAGCACATTAATTTTTTGATCCCATCAAGTCCACGTAAAACAAATTAACACAGCTGAGCATCTAGCCACAGAGAACAAAGCACGGCACATGGTGCCCATTCACTTCAAGTTAGCTTTTGGCTCACTTTATCTCCATGTTGTGTCTTTGAACTGCTTACTGCAGCAAGCACTTAATCTCTGCATTGACTCTCTTTTCTCATAACTCAGCAACTTCTTCCCCTTCTTATACCCCTTCCACCAAGCACTTTCACCTTCTTTGTAGTAAAAGTACTATATTTGCTATATTATTTCCTTGATTGGTGGCAATTTAACATGTCTTTAATAATTCTTATTAGGATTTTGGCACTTTTGTTAGTTGCATTGGTTTTAAGAAATTTATCTCAATCCTATTTTTCCTTAGTTTTCCCAGTAATTTTTCCAATCAATTTTGCAGAACGAAAGGAACAACGTACATTGTATTAAAACAAAAATGTCTGCATTCTGGAATGGCGAAAGGATTTCAGAATAAACACTAACCTTCTGCTTTTAGAAAGCACCCATTATTTTTTATTTCTTTTTTTTTTTCTGTTTTTGGAGTTGAGGTCTGCTACATTGCCCAGGCTGGATTTGAACTCCTGGGCTCAAGCCATCCTCCCGAGTAGCTGGGACTACAGGTGCACATCACCCCGTATCCAGTCTAGCACCCCATTATCTCAAAGATGCGGCACAATTATAGGAAGATATGCAGGTGGCTTTTTAAAATAGAGGAAATGCATCACACCACTCACTGAGCAAAAATTCCCAGAGTTAAAATGCCCCGAGCATTGAAAATACTATCATAATGAAAATTTTCTGAGAAAAGTCCCAAGTGATTAACACGACCTTGACCCAGCTTCTGCCTCTGAGGCTTCCCCTGTCTCCACTTCAGTTCTTTGACAAAAACTCACATTTCCATTTGGACACAGAGACTACCCCCTATTATCCTGGGCCCCTCCTGGGCCCTGGTGTTTTCCATTGCTGCTACATACCTGCCTGGAGCGGACCCTAGCCCACACAAACAGGATGCTTGCAGACTGCTCTCTGGGCAGTCCTGCGTCAAACCCAAACTCAATCAGTTACAATCAAATCTCAGCTTCTTCTTTAATTTGAGGAATGTGATCGGATTATTTTCTACAAGGCTTACAAAACTCTTTCTTTCCTCTGTTTCTCTCTCTCTCTCCTTTTCTCTCTCTCACACATGCACACACTATTACCACTAATTTAATTAATATCTAGTGAATTAAGAATTGTTGTTTCAAATAATGACATTTTGTCCTTAATTCCTCTACATCTCATATAACGCTTATGTCTGATTATGACATTTCTTCCTTGAATTTTGTCCTTAAAATGCATTCCCTTTTTGATCAAAACCTCTTGTAAGGATAGATAAGATACTGTTGGCACTAGAAGAAAAGCCAGAGTCTACAATTTTTTAGTCACTTTCAGTCCATTTTTCTTTGCTTGGCCCAAAATCTTAAAGAGGCTATTCAGTCTTTCTGAACTTTTCTTTGATCACCTTTAGAAACCTCATGTAACAAATATTTTATACCTTGATTTTTATTTAAATAAAAAATTTTAAAAATCTAGTGCACCACATGTTTAATACCCATACTCCCAAACATCGAAATATCTATTTTCTTGCCTTATTCTTCTCTTCATCTAACCCCTCCTACTTACTATAATTTTATATATATATATATATATATATTTATTTATTTATTTATTTATTTTTTTGAGACAGAGTCTCACTCTGTCGCCAGGCTGGAGTGCATGACCTTGGCTCACTGTAACCTCCACCTCCCAGGTTCAAGCAATTCTCCTGCCTCAGCCTCCCAAGTAGCTGGGACTACAGGCGCACGCCACCATGCCCAGCTAATTTTTGTATTTTTAGTAGAGACGGGGTTTCACCATGTTGGCCAGGATGGTCTCGATCTCTTGACCTTGTGATCCACCTACCTCGGCCTCCCAAAGTGCTGGGATTCTATAATTATTTTAATGTTATAGAGAATCCTGTTTTAAAAGTTTACCAGTTCAGAGGAACAAGTCTACAATAGTATAGGTAAATCTTAAACAAATCTGCTACTGTAAGTTCTTTCGTCTTTTTCTTTAACAGTATTTTTTCTTTTTTTTGGTATAACAGTTTTTATCTCACAAAAAACTCTCAGTTGTGTGTGTGTGGGTGGGGGTTTCATCATAAAATAACATGATATAGACAGAACACAGCTGTTTTTATAGATATACTCAAGACAGTGACAACACCCAGTTTCTCAGACAGTGATTTCCTCAAATCATACAAGTCATCAACTGAGTAATCAGAAAAGGAAAGCATACCATTTACAACTGAAGAAAGACAAAATCTGTAATTGAAATCGTGGTTTTAGTCAAACAAATTCACAATTACTAATTTTGACAAATGCACATTCCAGGGAGAAGAGATACTGCAGCTAACTCCTGCAATACGAAATTTAACTTGACATTTTAATACAAGGAGATTGATGAGTATGTTGATAAGTGGAGACTCCAAGCCAGAATAAAACATACACCTTGTTCAAAAGAATCACATTCGGCAGTTTAGGGGATTAGGATTGTATGTGAAGAAACTATATCAAAATCTACAAATGGGAAGGTGGACTCAGAGTTGAGAGCTCTGAGTAAGAATAAATAGTTCAAGAGAAAAGAAATGTAGTACTTTGGGAGGTAACTTGGGGTAGGAGAACAGCATGTAAGAGAGAGATGGAGAGAGAGGAGAGAGAGAAGACAGAGAGAGAGAGAGAGAGAATAATTTTCAAATATAGACATGAAACAGGATATAGTTAGAATGGGGCATTTAGAGTATCCTGGTGTTTACTGATGTTCTTATAAATTGCATATCTGATAAATATTTCCCATACCTTGCTGGATATCTTATCACTCAGAAAGCAGATAAAACTAGAGTAATAGCTGCCATTTGTTAACTACTCAGTTCCAAGCACTATAGTAAGCACTTTGTGTATGTGATCCAATTGAATTATTTCAACCATCATGACAAGTATTATCCTCATTTTATAAATAAAGAAATCAAAGCTCAGACATTAATTGTACATGTTAAAACAGCTGGGAGGTAGAAGAGAAGAATTTGAACCCAAAGCCCATGTTCATAACCATCCCCCAAAAGTGAAAAAAAAAAAAGTCGTAAGAAAAAGGTAAGCCTGTTGCTTTAAATATTAGAATCAGACTTGCTGCTAGAAATGAGGAAAAGAGAATTGTTTTTATTCAAATACAGAGGAGAAACATATGGTTCCATGAACAAAAACTCTAAAAGCTAATGTAATATAAGAGAGACAGGAAGTACCAATGCATATTCACCTGGCCGTCGTTTGAAGCTAAGATTGATTTAAACTGAAATTTAATATGAACAACAACATCTTCACCATGCAACATGGTTGTGTGATTCTTAACCTGACAGGAGACTTTTCCCACATGACTAGTTTTGAGGTCATTTAGCAGCTGATACACTTAAATTATTTTGAAGTGAAGGATTAAATTGTTCACTGACAGAAATCTAATTTCTGTTGCAAGGAGTTTAATTGTCAATGAGCGTGTATTTTTTTTTTCTTTCTTGAGATGATGCAACAACTGCCACTGTTGAGTTTGCTTAAAGCCACACCAGCAGGAAGGATTTAAGTGCTTTGAGCGTCTAATCTATATTGGTCGAGGGAAAGCATGTTTAAAATGTTAAAAGTGCTTGTACCCTTTCACTCTCCAGCTTGGGATTTTAACAACTAGCCTTAATGCCAACTTCTTAAAGTCTCCATTAAAAAACACACCAAAAGAACCTAACATACTTGGCTAACTAAAACAGGAATTCACTTGATGAAGCTTTGAGCTCTGGCCAGTATGGCCACTTAGCTAATGGATTCCAGCCAGTGAGACTAACCTTGCCCCAACCTCAAAACAGTTGACCCACTGTGAGTGGAGCACAAGACTGTACACTTTCTTATCCACCCCCTATAGCAGCATAAGAAGGGTAAAAGTGAGTTGTTCTGTGTGTCATTAAAACCCTGGAAGTGTCCACAAGTAGTGGTTGCTGACAATGAGGAGTATGTGGACTTAAATGTCTGCTTTTCCTGTGTTCTACTTTAAAATGAAAATACATTCAGAAACTGGACACAAAATTTCTTTTTAAAAAACGTTTTTATTATTATGGATTCATAATAGTTGCACACAATTATAAGGTACATCTAACATTTCAATACAAGCATACAATGTGTGACAAATCAGTCCAGAAGTAGTGGTTGCTGACAGTGAAGAATATATAGACTTAAATGTTTGTTTTTCTTGTGTGTTTTACTTTAAAATGAAAATACATTCAGAAACTGGACACAAAATTTCTTTTTAAAAAACGTTTTTATTATTATGGATTCATAATAGTTGTACATAATTATAAGGTACATCTGATATTTCAATACAAGCATACAATGTGTAACAAATCATGGTAATTGAGGTATCCAGCACCTCAAGTATTTATCATTTCTTTGTGTTAGAAACATTCCAATTCCACTCTTTTAGTTATTTTGAAATACACAGTAAATTATTAACTATAGTTTCCCTATTGTGCTACCAAACACTAGATTTTATTCCTTCTAATTGTATTTTTGTACCAAATCTGAGGGGGCAGATTTTGTACTCATCTGCCCCCTCCCCACTACCCTTCCCAGGCTCTGGTAACCATCATTCTACCTTCTCTCTCCATGAGTTCTTTTTTTTTTTTTAAGCTACCACATATTAGTGCGAACATTCACACTAATGTCTTTCTGTGCCTGGTTTATTTCACTTAATGTCTTCCAGGTCTATCCATGCGACAGCAAATGAAAGGACTTTTTTCTTTTTTGTGGCTGAAAAATATTATCTTACGTATATGTACCACATTTTCTTTACCCATCTATCCATTGATAGACCCATTGATTCCATATCTTGACAATTGTGAATCTTGCTGCAATAAATGTGAGGGGGCAGATATCACTCTGATGTACTAATTTCCTTTTTTTTTTTTTTTTTTTTGTATTTATGCAGGAGTGGGATTGCTGGCTCATATAGTGGCTCTATATTTAGGTTTTTGAGGAATCTCCATACTGTTCTTCACAGTGCTGTACATTCTTACCAACAGTGTACAAGTGTTCCTCTTTCTCCACATCTTTATCAGCATTCATTATTGCCTATCTTTTGGATAAAAGCCATTTCAACTAGGATGAGATTATACTTCATCCCAGTTTTGATTTGCATTTCTCTGATGATTAGTGATGTTAAGCATTTTTTTCATATACCTGTTGGCCATTTGTATGTCTTTTTTGAGAACTACCCATTCAGGTCTTTTGCTCATTTTTTAATTGGATTATTTTCCTATATTGCTTGAGCTCCTTATATATTCTGGCTATTAATCCTGTGATAGATGAGTAGTTTGCAAGTATTTTCTCCCACTTGATGGGTTGTCTCTTCACTTTGTTGTTTCCTTTGCTTTGCAGAAGATTCTTAACTTGGCATGATACCATTTGCCAATTTTTGCTTTGCTTGCCTATGCTTTTAAGGTCTTACTAAGAAATATTTGGTTCTGAAGCATTTCCCTAACGTTTTCTTCTAGTAGTTTCAAATCTTAGATTCCAGTCTTTAAGCCATTTTGTTTTGATTTTTTTAATACGGCAAAAGATAGTGATCTAGTTTCATTCTTCTACATATAATTATCTGGTTTTTCCAGAATAATTTTTGGAAGAGACTCTCCTTTTCCCAATGTATGTTCTTGGCAGCTTTGTCAGAAATTAGTTGACTGTATATGTATTGATTTATTTACAGGTCCTCTCTTCTGTTCCATTAGTCTATGTATCTGTTTTTATGCCAGCACCATGCTGTTTTGTTTACTATAACTTTGTAGTATAATTTGAAGTCAGGTAATGTGATGCCTTCAGTTTTATTCTTTTGCTTAGGATTGCTTTGGCTATTCTGGGTCTTATTGTGGTTCCATATAAATTTCAGGATTTTTTTCCTCTTTCTGTGAAGAATGTCATTGATATTTTGATAGGGATTACATTGAATCTGTAGATTGCTCTGGGTAGTATGGGAGTTGTAACAATATTGATTCTTCCAATCCATGAACATGGAATATATTTCCCTTTTTTGTGTGTCCTCTTCAATTTCTTTCATCACTGGAAAGATCTCTACAATAAAAACAAAAGTAAATTTCTTACAAGTAAGTCTTTTAAGATAAGAAATTTTAAGATTCCTCCCAAGCTATACTGAAAATTTCCAAAGAGCAGGTATTATCTCTATTAATCACTATATCCAGAGCCCAAACTATAGCAAACAGAAGACCCTCTATAATATAGCTCGACTGAACAAATGAACCTCTATATTTTACGGAGTTAGTTTGAGGTTTTTATGTTATCTCATCCCTATAGAGCCATAAAATGAATTTTTTGGTGGGAGCACACAAAATTGCACCACGACAGCTTTTTTCTTTAAAACAAGCACGAGAATAAAGCTAAACGCAAACATTCGCCGCACTGGAAAGCACTCCGCGTGCGCTATCCCGCGCTGTTGGCTAACACCGCAACTCTCAAAGACCCTGTCGCAAGATAATCACCTTTGCGCTTGCTCAGTTGCGGACTCCACAATCAGAGGGCGGGTTCCAAAGAAAAGGAAATAGTCATTGCGCCTGCGCCGCTCCTTCTGGGGCTTAGGCTGGCTGCGCAGGCGCATAGGTACCATTTTGACCGTAAACATCCTGCCGATTTGAACCGAGGATTTGGGCGGCAGGAAGAGCCGCGGCGTAACGGCAGCCATCTTGTTTGTTTGAGTGAATCGGAAAGGAGGCGCCGGCTGTGGCGGCGGCGGGAGCTGCTCCGAAGCTACACCTCGCTAGGGCTCCCCCCTTTCCCCGCCCCCTCCCCCGACCCTTTTCCCCTCCCCGGGCCACCCAGCCGGCCCAACTCCCAGCGGAGAGCAAGGTAAGAGACTCGGCCGACCCCTTCTTTTCCTCCAGCTCCCTCCCCCCACCCTTTCCCCGCCGCGCTGCCGTCGGGGAGCCGGACTCCTGGGGGCGGGAGGGCGAGGGAGAAGGCGGCCCTCGCCGCGCCCCCGCTTACTGCCACCCTCCCGGCGCCCAAGCGGCGGCGACACCCGCCCAGCCCCCTTCGCCCCGGGCCCGCCCTCGGCCCGGACCCATGCAGCTTGGGCCCGCATCATCGCTTGTTCGGTAACAAATGGTTCTGATCCATTCTGAGATCTACAAAGGCTGTTACTCTGCGGGTCCGTCTCACGTCTCCCAGGAGGCCGGGGAAACCCTGGGCTGCGGAGGGAGGGGAGGAGGTTTGAACAAGCCCGCTCTAGGGACCGGGCCGCCTACTCCGCGGGTAAAAATGGCTGTCTGGGAGGAGGCGGTGGCGGGCCCGGCGCCCGCGGTGCCAGCCCCGGGAGCAGCAACCTTCCGCCAAACTCGGGTGCGGGGCTCAAGAACGTGCGGACCTGGTGGGGCGGGCGGGGGTGGGGGGAGGTCGGTGGGTGCCCCTTAGCCAGTGACTGCTGCTGCCCTCCTTTTTTAAAAAGATAATTTTTACGTTGGGAATGCTAAATATTGCCCCGACCCGTAGAAAAAGCGACGGAGGGAAGTTGCTTCTTATTCCAAGGATATTTGCATAATTGGTTTTTCCCTTCAACTTTCCAATCATTCTTCAAAGTGATTAAGGATATCGGGTGTTGTAGAGACTCTCTGGGGAAGTGTGTGTTTCTGATAAATGCTTGATGCTCTTTTCGTCGCTGAAAAAGGCTTTTTGCGAATGATCCCCTCTGATAGTGTGGGGTGACACTGTCGGGTTGTGCTGCCAGACTTAGCGGCCTTCTTCAAATTTGTAAGAGGGAAACGTTGGGGATTTACTTGGTCATTCTGATTTGTTAGTGTCTTCAACGTGGAAAAAAAAAGCGTTTGTGTGAAGGGTTTCTGGGAAAGGCTTGTGTTTATCGGCTTCTTTTTGCAAGGGAAAGTTAATGTTTGCTGTCATTATACTGGTTAGAAAAGTAATAGGTTTTCAGGCAAAAATTTCTATTTTCTTAAATTGGGTGTAAATGCCAGCGGGCTTTGCGAGTCTGTAGGATTTTGGAGACAGGCAGGAGAAGGTTTCTGAAATCATGAAGTCATTAAGTACCTTTGTTAATGTCGGAGGCAACCAATTATTCTTGGAAAGGCGTTGATGAGGACATACGCCGTATCTAATCTTCAAATAAGTTAACAGTTTGTATAGTTGAGGTGACAGCAGTGCATAACTAATAGACATAGTGCTTTTTATACACAAGTCGGGATTACAAAAGAGAATTTCTGGTGAATTATTATTTTGTGAAACATACAAATTCTGAGAAACTGTCTTTTACGTTTGGTACAGAATGGAAATTTTCTAATTCTTGAGGAATAAAGGCTGTACTTTTAGTTTAAATGTCATACCAGAGTTGTTAGGCATGATTATACTAGCTGGTTAATGTTTTGCTGCAAGATTGTCCTCAGAGTTACTCTGCATCAGCAGTGGCACTATGTTAGGTGTGCCCTTGTATTTAATTTTCATAATCTTTTTTGGTGAGTATTATCCCACTTTGTAGTTGAGAAATAACTTATTCACCGTTACAGAACAACTAAGAAAAGAGGGAGCTGAATTTGAAGCTACGGCTGTCTGATTGTAAAACCTTTAGTCAAAGGATGTTAGAACCAAAATGGAGTTCTAGTGTGCAGGGTTAGAAATACCTTCTGAGATCCTTCCCACCACTCCCCTGCAGAGGTAGCTCCATTCTGATCTGAGTTAGGTATTGATGTTGTCAAAGGTTAGGTAAATCACCAGATTTCAACCTTTCAGGTTTTTATAGTGGGGAAACTGAACTGCATAAAGGTTAGGCAGCTTAACCTGCTAGTTAATGACAATAGCAGGATTATGTCTTCTGAAATAGTTTTTACTTTGAATAGGTGGTGTACGTGTATGTCCCGAATTAAAATATATGTGTGTGTACATATATATATATCGAACAGTACAAAAATGTAGGCCTCGCTTGCCCAGCATACCTACTTTCCAGAGGTAACCAGTATCACCAGTTTCATGTGTACATCACAAATATTTTAGGCTTATTCAAGAACTAAATATATAGAGAAAGAGCATTCTTTTTTTAAAACTCCAACTTTTCTGCAGTTAACCTGGAGATTTTCCATGTTAGCCCAAATGTTGTATTCTTGTTTAAAGCTGTGCTGTACAATCGTCCCTTGATATTAAAGGGGAATTGATTCCAGGACCAAAACCACGAATTCCAAAGTCCCTTATATGAAATAGTGTAGTATTTGCATATAACCTACTCACATCCCATATACTTCAAATCATCTCTATTTATAATATTACAATTTAAATGCTATGTTAATAGTTAATATAGTTGTTATAGTTTTTTATTTGTATTATTTTTTGTCTCCTCCCCCCCCCAACAATTTTTGATCCTGGGTTGGTTTAGTCCATGGATGCAGAAGCCATGGATAAGGAGGACGGACTGTATTCCGTTGTTTGGGTATATTAATTTATCATATCATTTATTGATGGCCAAGTAGGTTATTTCGAATGTTCTATTCTGCTCTGGCAAGGCAGCATAGTGTTGTACTTAGAAGTGTGGATTCTGAAGTTCAAGTTCCACTTCCATTAAATACTAGTGACATTTACTTATCTTCATCTGTTTTCTCCATTTGTAAAATGGGCCAGTATTTACTTCTGTAGGACAGTCATGAAGAGGTTGGATACATGAAACATGTAGTGCTTTAGTAAGTTTTTTTGGGGTTTTTTGGTGTTTGGATTTTTGGTTTTGTCTTTAGTAATATGCATCTCCAAGTATATCTTTTGGTTACTGAAAATGCAAATTTTGGCTAGAAAGTGTAAGTGAAATTTGTATAAAATGTTGTCATATTGTCCTTCAGAGAGGACAGTACCAATTTACACAACCACTGTCCTGCCATGCTTTCTAATGTGTGAAATTTTGGTAATGACTGATACTACCCTAGAAGCATGAGCCTCAGTTTGACTGATTCTTTGAAACAGTCTTAAATTGCCATTTTTTGTATTCTTGAATATGTTCTAAAATAGCAGTCTTTCTGCTGTTTCACATCAGACTTTAATTTTTTAGGATCAATTGAAAAAAAATGCTTGCTGCTTTAGAAAAAAATGATTCTCAAATCATGAAATGCTAAGTTATGCTCTGGTATCAAATGCAGATTTTCTGCACAGGGTTTTCATAAAGGATTTAGCCGAATATAGAATCTTCAAAACCTGAAGAGATTAATCGACTTTTTAAAAGATTAGATAAAGTTTGGTATTATCAAGGGAAAAAAAAATTGGCTTAAAAGGGAATTATAATTACACTTTCTCCTTATTCAGATACATACCAGGAGTCGATCCACCACTGCTCCTTTGGCTTCCTTTAGCTATTAGAGTGATTTCCTCTTGCTAATTGTTTCCCACATTAATTTTAGCATCGCTCTGCCTTCCTTAGCCCCATCCTATGCCAAACAGACATCTATTTAGGAATCTCTGCCTCTGCATAGCTGGGATATTTTAGGCACGGTGCTCTGACCAGCAGCTGAAGTGCTGGCCATGAGCTACTGACACCTGTTGAAAAATACCAGTAGTTTTAATTTTTAAAACGTCTAAAATTTTTTACATATGTCAATTATGAGATCACTTGGTGGATCTTATTTACTTATTCATTAAGCACATATTTAGTAATTGTCGTGCAACAGATAGTATTCTAGAAGCTTAATATTAGGGAGTTTTTTGTTTAGGATACAGTTGCTTGCTTCCGTAGTGGAACTTGGGGCTTGTCCTGTACAACAGCGATTATATTTCTCAGAAAACGCTGCCATGTTGGATTTCTATGAAGTTCTCTAGATTTTATAACATAGTAGGAGCAGCTTAAGTTTTGTTAGAACATTTTAAGACTTGAAGTAGGCACTGATTTGAAACATAGGAGGCTCTCTTCCAGTATGGGAAGCGTGTTTTAATCTGTAAAATACTAAATGGCAAATAAAGCATCTTTTAGGTGTTATTAGTTAATGCTCGTACGTTAAGAATATTTTGTCTGAGTTCTTAGTATAGAGCATAGTATTTCTTCATTCTTTTCTTTTTTTTTTTTTTTCCAATAAAAACAGAGTCTTGCTATATTGACCAGGGTGGTCTGGCACTCCTGCCCCTCAAGCAATCCTCTTACCTTGGCCTCCCAAAGTGCTGGGATGACAGGCGTGAGCCACCACGCGTAGCCAATTTCTTCCTTCCTTAACTCCAAATTTAGGAGGAAGAGTTTACAACATTAGACAGTTGAAAAAGCCTGTTTGTTTTTCTTTTGAGAGAAAATTTTTTTTGGTATGAATTAATAATCCTTTGGGAACATGAGATGGAGAGAATGAGAATTTCAAGGCTCTTTGCTGTTAAGTGATGGAAATGGAGATAAAGCAAACCTGACTGCAGTAGTCTTGCACCACAGCCCCCCACCCTCCCAAATATTTTTGACATGTAAGAAATCTGTTGCCTATGATATGCTTAACTAAAATATATTTTCTCTACATCATTGGAAAGAATTGGCACATTTTTAATTGAAAGTATAGTAAGCAAAATTCTGATTTTAAGATTTACAGACTCTGACAACATAAAAAACAGTTACTCTGTGTCTTTTAGAAAAAAGCTAATTCAAAAGAGATTTTAGTCCCACCTGTGGTGTAAGAGATCCAGCTTCTCTGTCTTTGCCAGCATTTGATGTTGCCGCTATTTTTTAATTTAGCTCTTTATTAAGTGTGTGGTGATAACGTTTTTGGCCTTAATTGGTATTTCTCAAATGCCTAGGATGATTGAACGTCTCATGTTCTTATTTATCATCAGTAAACTTTTTCTGTGAAATTTCTCTTCTTTGGCTCACTTTTTTTTTTTTCTTTTTAGACAGTCTTGCT